AGAGATAGATAGATAGATAGATAGATAGATAGATAGATAGATAGATAGATAGATAGATAGATAGATAGATAGATAGATAGATAAATAGATAGATATTCGTCAATCGGAAACATTCGAAGCCCATAGACTTTGAAATTTAAAGGATGGCAGCGACTACCCAAATATGAATTAAATATTCAGATTAAAGACCAATAGTATTAGTATTATCTACTTTACTCACTTTCCAGAAGAATGTGAGGAAGTGCAAAATGTAGTCTAAAGTTGAGGCATCTTCAGTATCGCCTCCGTTGACGTTCATGGCACAGCGGAACTGCTCTGCCCATGAGTTGGTCTCAAGTTTGAGTCCATCCAAATTCTGCTGGGTTTTGTTAGCTATTCGAGACAACATGTTGTTGAACTCTGAGGAAAGGGAGAAGAAGCAACAGGTGAATTCTTGGAAATAAAGTAAGCAAATAAGATACGATCAGCTAGGAAGTTAGTAACAAGGCAGGGGGAACAGACGAAGACATCAAAGTCAGAATCCAAAAGGCAAGAGCCGCATTCATCATCCTCAGGAATATATCGATGTCAAAAGAACTCGGATTGAACACCAAGCTGAGGATCTTCAAAACAAACGGAAATACTGTTCTACTGTATGGTTCAGAGCCATAGAGGGTCACAGCATCGGTATAAGAATAGTGGGGATCAAGTGGTACAATCGAGTCACAAATGTTTAACTGTGGGAAAGAACAAACCAAAGGCCAGTAAAGGAAGACATACAGGTGAAGAAATGGAAATGGATTGGATACACCCTGAGGAGACCCCCCGACAATAATCATCAGACAGGCTTTGACGTGGAATCCTCAAGGAAAACATAAGAAAGGAAGACCGAAGATGACATGGATGGGAGCGGTACAAGAGGAAATGGAAAAAAGCGGGGACATCATGGAAACAGGATGCTCAGGACATGATTTGCTGGAGGAGTGTTGTTGATGGTCTATGCTCCTCAGAGAGTTTAAAAAAGGGCGAGAGAGGCGAGAGAGAGAGAGAGAGAGAGAGAGAGAGAGAGAGAGACAGACAGAGACAGACAGACAGACAGAGACAGAGAGAGAGAGAGAGAGAG